AAAATTATTAAAATGACGGACATAAGAAATTTATTTTTAGGAAAATTCCCTATTTTCGACCAATAATAAAGTTAGAAAATAAGGAAGACCTTAACCGATAACATTTATCCTAGTCCATACAATATATATGTATGTACACAAGAACGTATTAAAATTTGGAACGGATCGGATTATTAGTTTTTGAGTTATCGTGCTTGCTATTTGTAATAATACTGTTTTGAGAAAACTCCGTTTTGAGTTTGACAATATATCGGCTATGCCTTCAAGAGTTTTTGAGATTTTTCACTTGAAATTTAAAAGAGACATTCTTGAATTCGTTGAATAATCGATGACAAAATAATAAATAAATATTTCTAAATATGCACCGTTTTGTTGTATGATTTGTTGCCATTTTAAAGGTAATTTCATAATGCCTCTCTCATAGAATTCCTGCTTCCTATTTGCAAAAAAAAAAAAACTCTAGTAGTGATAATCGATTGTGCCAAGTCCGGACTGTATGGCAAATGTATTAAAACTTCCCAACCAAATTCCCAAAGTTTCTGGCGAGTCCCTGGCGGAACACGACACCTCTGTTGGTCAATTCTGGTCGTTTCTGGTTAATTGTAAATGGTTTAAAAGAGATTTATGTTCGATTTTTTTTGCTCCTGGACGATGTTACGACTGCTAACATACCGGTCAACTTCTATCATGTATCCAAATTTATTGACATTTTCGACGACCGGCCTACCTGTGCCATGTTCATCTTTAACATTAAAAATTCCTGAACGGAATCTACCAAACCAAAATTGCACATTATTCGGAAGCATAAACACCATTCACAATTTTAGCCGCTTGACTTGCATTTTCATCTTTGTCGAAGAAAAACTGTAAAATGTACCGAATTTTCTCTTTGTGCATTTTGCAAATTTACGAGCAATATTGTTAACATTGCTCATACCAGAGCCAGTTTTTCAGATTCGTATGTTCCGATAACCATGCCTGCCATCGAAAAGATGCACTTTTCTCTAGCGCGATACCGGTTATCGGCGTGGATTTTTAAAACGTTTTTTTTTTTTCACAAGCCATCCAGACTATAACAGGGATGGGAAATGAAAAATGTTAAAAGGTACCAAAAGTGTACTTTTTTAATAAAAGAGTACTTTTTTCAAGATTTTCAAGATATCATCACTTAGTCTATCTTTCTGATGGTAATAATATGAGAATTCTTGCTTTCGATTGCATTTGAATATGTATTCTATTGACTAATTTTAATTTCACTACCTCTTTCTCGAAAGCCAATATACCCCAAATTAACATGCATTTCAGTTCCAAAGTGCTCTTGAAATTATTGAAGTAATCACGACGACTATGAATGTAATCAGGAGATAGCACAGAGTATGCCAAATAGAGTATCTGACAAACATATCCGGTTAAAAAAATTGGAACTGATAAATTAATTTAATGTTTGTAATTTCAATCATAACTGTACAGTTATCATTTTTTCAAGAGGAATATTGCAAGCTCTTTATCTGCAATACTTTTGCCGGTCAAATCCATAAAAAAATATATATCATGGTGTAATGAACGATTGCAATGGTACTGAAATAGTCACGGGGGTACTACGGTATTTTTTGGGGGTAAAAAATACTGACAAAAGTACTATTGAACTGAATTTTCCATCCCTGGGCTATAGACATTGATTTTTTTTTAACATTTTTTAAAACAACCATCCAGACGTGGATTAAAAAACCAGGAACATCCCGGCTTAAAGGATTTTGTACACCATTTATTGAGAGATTTTTTAATAGTTTTCAAGGACCATCAAATTTTTCTCAAGGACCTCAAATATTCGTGGATTTACTTATCCTGCTAATGGATTGGATTTTTTTATATTCCAGCTCTAAAATGTCTAAGAATAATTTCCAGTTATTATCCCGGCTATATGAATCGATTTTAAAGATTTTTTCAAGTGACCATCTAGGTCCTGCATTTTTGAGCAAATGTTTCTGGGACCATCTTGGTAATCTCAACGTGGATTATTTAACATTTTTATCGGGGACAACCCCCAGTTTTAGTTTTACCGTACTTTTTTTTAAAGCTATAACTGATATAAATGTAACATCTATGTAATTAGTGGTCCTATTTTTTTCACTGATTTTATGGTTTTATTTATTATGTATATATTATGAAACAAAAATGGAATATCGAAAGATTTTTCTTCTACCAAAAATTTTTATAAGGATGTATTTAATCTGAAAATTTGTTCTGTACAAGAAATTTTCGAAGTTTCCGTTTAACAATTTGAAAAGTTTTATTACATTTTAAGTATAAGAATAGAATTTCATTTATGCTTTTGTTTTAATTAAATTTTATTGAAGAGACCATTGGGGCGTATTATATTCATCCGTACTTATACTACACGGTGGCCTCTTAAGATAAGCTGAAAGAAAAATATTCTTTAAAAATCATAGCTATAGATAGATGGACCTTAAAAAAGTATTTTTTAGAATGCAAAGAAGGAATATGTTTTAAAAAATGCTGGCCTATTCGTGGTATTTAAAAATATTCTTAATAAATTCAAACCTACTGCTATTCTTTAAAAACGCACGCCTATATAAGGCCCTTAAAAATTAAGAAATTCACGCCTTAATGTGACCTTGTAAAAATATTATTTCAAAATAAACGCTTATATTGATCCTTTAAAATATATTCTTTCAAAATCCACGCATATTTATAGCTTGTCACTGAAAAAAATATTCTTTAGCGGGTAAAATCGTTGTTAAGTTCGACCGGACCAATCATGTTATACACTGTTCAATATGTGAACATTTCAATTTTATTTTAAATCTGTATGATTTTTCATTAGCTTGGCTAGGAATTTGAACATATGGGAACTATATAGAAACTAGGAACTACATTACATTTATCTATTATAGGCACATCGGCACCTTCAAAATATATTAGAAAATGGGTTAGGCAATTTATATGAGATCTGTGCCAAAGCATGGACCCCATCTCTTAAACATTTCAGCAAATATATTGTTCAACATCCAAGATTCTGCAATGCAAAGATGCAATCCTTTCTGTTATAAAATACTGCTGAAACCTTCAAAAGACCGAAAATGAGGCCGGACCTTTATATGGGGGTCTATGATAAAACATGAACCTATGCGACCTCCAAAAATATTCTTTAAAAATCCACGCCTTATTGGTCGGATGGTCTTTGAAAAATATACCTTAAAAAAATCACGCCTTATTGGTCGGATGGTCTTTGAAAAATATACCTTAAAAAAATCACGCCTTATTGGTCGGATGGTCTTTGAAAAATATACCTTAACTCACGCCTTATTGGTCGAATAGTCCTTGAAAGATATTCTTTAAAAATCCACGCCTTATTGGTCGAATAGTCCTTGAAAAATATTCTTTAAAAATCCACGCCTTATTGGTCGAATAGTCCTTGAAAAATATTCTTTAAAAATCCACGCCTTATTGGTCGAATAGTCCTTGAAAAATATTCTTTAAAAATCCACGCCTTATTGGTCGAATAGTCCTTGAAAAATATTCTTTAAAAATCCACGCCTTATTGGTCGAATAGTCCTTGAAAAATATTCTTTAAAAATCCACACCTTATTGGTCGAATAGTCCTTGAAAAATATTCTTTAAAAATCCACGCCTTGTTGGTCGAATAGTCCTTGAAAAATATTCTTTAAAAATCCACGCCTTATTGGTCGAATAGTCCTTGAAAAATATTCTTTAAAAATCCACGCCTTATTGGTCGAATAGTCCTTGAAAAATATTCTTTAAAAATCCACGCCTTATTGGTCGAATAGTCCTTGAAAAATATTCTTTAAAAATCCACACCTTATTGGTCGAATAGTCCTTGAAAAATATTCTTTAAAAATCCACGCCTTATTGGTCGAATAGTCCTTGAAAAATATTCTTTAAAAATCCACGCCTTATTGGTCGAATAGTCCTTGAAAAATATTCTTTAAAAATCCACGCCTTGTTGGTCGAATAGTCCTTGAAAAATATTCTTTAAAAATCCACGCCTTATTGGTCGAATAGTCCTTGAAAAATATTCTTTAAAAATCCACGCCTTATTGGTCGAATAGTCCTTGAAAAATATTCTTTAAAAATCCACGCCTTATTGGTCGAATAGTCCTTGAAAAATATTCTTTAAAAATCCACGCCTTATTGGTCGAATAGTCCTTGAAAAATATTCTTTAAAAATCTACGCCTTATTTAGTCCTCCAAAAATGTTATTTAAAAAATCCACATCTAATGGTCAGATGATATTTGAAAAACATGTTTTAAAATTCGACCGTATAGGTCACCTTATGTTCGACTTCGACAACCATTCCTTTTTTTAAATTCATAAATAAAATATTTTATTTGTTTTGTTTAAAGAAAGTGCATTGAAATCCGTTTCTAAGAATCGTGAGAAATTTTGAAAAACACTTTTTTAAATTTTTTTCTCTTTCTCTCTCCCTCGCTCTCTCTCTCTTGATTTTTAATTGAGTGATCGTTAGCATTTTCCCAAACGAATATTTGTTTCATTCCGATGTATGTTTGGTATGCCGATCGATCTGTGCGGGCCTTCTTAAAGATTTGCTACATCTTTTGAAAATCAGTTCTCGCGAAACATTCAAACAACAAATGTTTGAAAAAATTACACGTTTATAATTTTCGCCGGAAAAAAAAATAACAAAACGATTTGGCGTGTTGAGTTTCGGAAATTTGTGTTGTTGTGTTTTTTGGTTTGTTAAAAAAAAAAAACAGATTTCCTTTTCGTCTTTCATTTTACCGCATAAAAATTCATGATTGTCTATTAGAACATAAGTATATATATTTATACCGAATGACAGATGCGGATTGCGGAATCATAAACAAAAAAATGTGTTATTTATTTTTGTTGTTGTTTGTGTTTTAAGTGAATTAAAAAAAATCTCTTTCTAATTTTTTAATATAGTTACACAAAACATCTCAATAATCATCGATATAACATCATCATCATCATCATCATGAAGTGTTCGACTTCGCCATTAGCCGCCAACTTGTTGTTGGCTTTTTATGCCGTTTTATTTTCACTTGTCATTCAAGTGGCCAATGCATCGGTATTTGGTATTGGAGCCCGTATGTTCGGCGATCAATTGCTAATGAAAGATATTCTGCGAACGCCATTTATCTCGCTGACCAAGGAGACTGTCATTACCTTCAATTATGCCATACCGGAGCCAATTACCTATATTGAAATGATATCGGATGAGGTAAGAAGAGAAATCTTCTTTAAAAAATCCACGCCTTATTTGATCGATTCGACCTGCTAAAAATATTCTTTAAAAAATCCACGCCTTATTTGATCGATTCGACCTGCAAAAATATTCTTTAAAAAATCCACGCCTTATTTGATCGATTCGACCTGCAAAAATATTCTTTAAAAAATCCACGCCTTATTTGATCGATTCGACCTGCAAAAATATTCTTTAAAAAAATCCACGCCTTATTTGATCGATTCGACCTGCAAAAATATTCTTTAAAAAATCCACGCCTTATTTGATCGATTCGACCTGCAAAAATATTCTTTAAAAACTCTACGCCTTATTGGTCGGAAGGTTGTTGAAAAATATTCTTTAACAAATCCACGCCTTAATGGTCGGATGGACCTGAAAGAATATTCTTTAAAAAAACCCGCCTTGTTGGTCGGAAGGTTGCTGAAAAAATTCTTTACAAATTCTATTATCTTTTTTGCAGGAAATCTATGTTAATGTCGATTTCAGTTATGAAAATGATTTAATTAACGGAACCATCCGACGAATGTTACCAAATATTACCCAGGATCCAACCACTGAATTCGAAAGTAATAAAGATCCCTTCGAGGTGTTAATACAAATCTATGGTTATCATCAACTTCCCCAGAATGTCAATTCCCGTTATATCCTAAATCGTGGTCAAAATCTTTATGATCTACTAAAATCGAGTGGGGAACCTGAGGCCACCATCAAGGAGACATTAAATCTCATGCGCGAAGATAGCAGAGCCCTGGAACATATGGACGAGGAATATGTTGAAGAGAATAATGATATATCATCAGATGTGGATGATCATCATGTGGAACACCATCAGCCTCCGGATCTATCGGATGAAGCTCTTTTCAGTTCGAATATGAATAAAATTGTTCAGTTGGGTGAGAGGCAAGAGGGTAAGATACTGATTTGAAACTATTAAAAAAATAGGAATTCATTTTTTTCTCTTTTCTATCAGGTGACTATTTGTTGTACCATGCCGATCAAACCTCCCCGGACACAACCGATGAACCCACAAATCACTCGGTGATATTTTATTTTATCGACAACAGTTTTATAACTTGTGTGGAATTTTTTATAATTGATGTAAGTATTAAAAAATGCAATTCAAGTCAGCTGAATTAGGTTTCCTATGGAAAAACTTCAATTTAGCTCAGGTTTTTATTAGGAAATCTTCAATTCAGCCTGGCTGAATAATGTTTTCTATAGGAAATCTTCAATTCAGCCTGGCTGAATAAGGTTTCTAATAGGAAATCTTCAATTCAGCCTGGCTGAATAAGGTTTCTAATAGGAAATCTTCAATTCAGCCTGGCTGAATAAGGTTTCTAATATGAAATCTTCAATTCAGCCTGGCTGAATAAGGTTTCTAATAGGAAATCTTCAATTCAGCCTGGCTGATTAAGGTTTCTCATAGGAAATCTTCAATTCAGCTTGGCTGAATAAGGTTTCTCATAGGAAATCTTCAATTCAGCCTGGCGGAATAAGGTTTCTCATAGGAAATCTTCAATTCAGCCTGGCTGAATAAGGTTTCTCATAGGAAATCTTCAATTCAGCCTGGCTGAATAAGGGTTCTCATGGGAGATCTTCAATTCAGCCTGGCTGAATAAGATAGGAAATCTTCAATTCAGCCTGATTTTCTATAAGAAATCTTTAATTCAGTCTCGCTGAATAAGATTTTCTACAAGAAATCTCTAATTCAGCTTGGCTGAATAACGTTTTCTATAGAAAATCTTCAATTCAGCCTGGCTGAATAAGGTTTCTCAAAGGATATCTTCAATTCAGCCTGGCTGAATAAGATAGGAAATCTTCAATTCACCCTTGATTTTCTATGAGAAATCTTTAATTCAGCCTAGCTGAATAAGGTTTCCTTTAGGAAATCTTCAATTCAGCCTAGCTGAATAAGGTTTTCTGTAGGAAATCTTCAATTTAGCCTGGCTAAATAAGGTTTTCTTTAGGAAATCTTCAATTTAGCCTGGCTGAATAAGCTATCCGTTAGCAAATTTTCAATTCAGCCTCGCTGAATACGTTTTCAGTTAGAAAATATTCAATCCAAGCTGGCTGAACAGTTCTCATTATGTTCCTCCCGTTCTCCCATGTTTCCCCATTAACTAATTCTCATTTCTTTCTTTCTTTAGCACTATTTAAATCACCCGCTCGCCACCAATTCCCATCCCATTGTCGAATATGAGAAACTGTCACAGCACACCCTCAAGGCAATTGTTACAGATCAGCACACAACCAGCCTGTTCGTCGAAATGCATATCTATGGCTATGAGCCAAATGACAAACCTGTTGACTTTAAATCCTATTTGAAAAGTGGCCAAGTAGTCACAGCCAGTGATGGTGATGATGACGATGATATTGTGGATGTGCGAATACAACTGCCATTGACAGCGAAGAGACGCACTCGTGTCCTATTCAATCAGGCAGAAGCCGGAGCAGCAGAGGCATCAGCAACTGACGATGCTGGACAACAAGTCGGCATTTATAATTGGTTGATCGTCCTGATGATGACGACTTTGACAGTTCTAATGATTGGACGGCACAATGGCTATGGTGTTTAGAGTGCGCCGTCATTGTTTGTCGGGATGCTGACGACGACGATGATGGTGTCTGCGAGCAATGAATGGATGCTGAATGCCATTGTATTTATTTGTGAAGTATTTATTTATTTAGAATTGTCTAAGTTTTAATTTATCTTTGTATGTGTGCGTGTATGTGTGTAATATTAATATGAAATATATAACAAGTATTTAGTTATTAAATTGAAGATGTGAGGTTATTTGGTTCGTTTAATTATTTTAATATTTAGATTCGAAAGTACTACAAAGGTCTGTCCTTTTCAAAAGCACCTTCCATTTGTCTACATATTTCACTCGTGAAGCTGTTCGGCATTGTTCGGTTCCATAGTTAATTTTACTTCAATCGTACATTGGTACACGCCCGTGAACACGGGAAAAACTAGTTAAAGAACTAAATCAAAATGAACTAGGTGAACGAGAGCAGGAAGGTGAACGATTTGAACAAGAGGAACTAGATGGCCGCAAGAATTGGACCTAGCACCACTAATTCCTTCTGCGAAATAGTACCGATTAACTAGTTTGTTCCAGAACGTCTTAATGAAATAGCAGGCTTATAAAATTTTCACAAAGAGGAATGTCGTTGTAAATATTGATCGGTTCCAGAACCTGAAAAATCTACTATTTATATTCTTCACCACACTGTGGTATTGTCTTTGTGCATATGTTTGTAACAGGCAAAAGGAATCGGAATAGACCCATGGTTCCTTTTGAGAATATGCATATAATCACCTTCTGATTCGATTTATGCATGTCCGTCCGTTCATGTATTCCTGTGAACACAGTTCAGGTCACATTTACGATCCTGATTGGATGCAATTTGGCAAAGGTTACTTATTTGACCCAAAAACGAACTCTACTGAAATTGGAGAATTCTATTGAAATTTACATATAGATCCCATACATAGATTTGTCCGATTTTATGTAAATGATGTACAAAACTCTCAGAATATGTCGGACTGAGACAAAATTGTGTACATCTTAATCCATTCTCACCACATGACCTAGACAACGTAGTAGCCGCATTTCAATACGTCTAACAATGCGGTGTCCGAGAATAGAAGCTATAGCTCATGGTTCATTCAACTGTGATGTTCACCATCAACGCAGATCGGTCCATAGATCTTTCGTAGAATTTTTCTCTCAAACACTCCAAGAGCTGCCTCATGTCCTTACGCAAGTACCCACGCTTCTGATCTATACACCAGCACGGGCAGTATCTGCGTCTTGTAGAGTGTGTGTTTGGTCTGGGGAGAGGTGGGTTTGTTTCTAAACTGCTTACTTAGACCATAATAGCATATGTTGGTCAAAACTATCCTTCTCCGAATTTCAAAACTGATATCATTAGTTTTATTTATGGCGGTACCAAGGTATATAAAATCTTTGACTACCTCGAAACTGTAGTTCTCAAGTTCCACAGTTGGTCCGAGTCTACTGGATGTTTAGCACGTTAATATCATCAGCTTGGTCCTCTCGCCGTTTACTACCAGACCCACTTTGGCAGACTCCTTCTCAATTTGTTCAAAGGTGGCTGTTACCGCTCTCAATGTTCGGCCCATTATGTCGATGTCATCGGCGTAGGCGAGTAGCATGTGTTGTTTGGTGTTCAGAGTGTCATTTCTGTTCACCTTTGATTCTCGTATGACTTTTTCCTGCAGAATGTTAGAAAGGTTGGACGACAAACTGCCACCTTGTCTGAATCCTCGTTCGGTATTAAAGGGCTCCGAGAGGTCCTTTCCGACTTTAACTGCTGATCTTGTGCCAGTTAAAGTTATCCTACATAGCCGAATTATTTTGCAGGACTGCCAAACGCAGACAAGGCTTTATACACCCCTGAAGGGATAGGGCTGTCGAATGCCACCTTATATTCGACGAATAGGTGGAATGTGTTGATAGATTTTTCGTGGGTTTTTCCAGGATTTGACGCAGAGTTCAAATCTGGTCAATGGTGGATTTGCCAGGTGTGAAGCCGCATTGGTACGGTCCAGTAATGTCATTGACCATTGGCTTCAATGGTTCATACAGAACACTGGTTAGCAGTTTATATGCGATGGGAAGGAGATTTATTCCTCTATAGTTGGCAAATATCGCATCATCTTATTTTTGTTCATGGGACACATGATGCAGAGGTTCCAATCATTGGGCATGCATTCCCCTAGCCAAATTGTACTAATCAGCTGGTGCATGCTCCTTTCCAGCATCTCACCACCAGTAGTCGTGAATAGTTCGGCTTGTAAACCATCAGCACCTGATGCTTTATTATTCTTCAGCCGATTGATTACTATTCTGACCTCAATATACAGTATAGGTGGTATAAACTCTATATCGTCATCTCTTATTGGTTCTGGAGTATCATCTTCATGAATCATAGAAGATGATAGAATCATGGGCCTATATTAACAAATTTCAGTGCATATGATCTTTTTGACAAAGAACTCGAAATTTCAAATAAACGTCACTTCGAATGCAAATTACCGCTAAAAAAAATAGAAAATGGCAAAATGGGACCGCACACATCAAAAAAAAAAAAAAAAAAAAAAATCCTGGAATTCAAAAATCACAGTCATTTCGATCAAAATACTTATATTGTGGCGGAACCTTACATAAGAGCTACCCTTAAAAGTTCCACTGATATTGAAGCCTATTATTACATTGGACCGATATTGATACTGATACTTTAGGAGGACCATCCAAACAAAAAGCCACGATTTTTTAAAACAATATTTTTGAAGGATCATCCGAACTATGAGCGTGTATTTTGGAAATAATATTTTTGGAGGACCATCCAAAAGCTTGGACTTCAAAAAAAAAAAAAAAATATATATATATATATTTTTTTTTGGAGGTCCTTTCAAACTATAAGCGTGTATTTTTCTAAACAAAATTTTTCGAGGACTTTCCATTTATGATATAATAAATGTATATTAGCTTTACGGCTGCCACTTTAAATCGCTACAAATATTTTGTTCAAAATTTTACGAACACTTTTCATTTTCAGAACCTCCCAAAATTGTTAATAGAAACCACAACAGCACAATAACAAGTAATTTTACTCTTGACAGCAAACATTTGGTTGGTTGTTCGAAAAAGTTGTTATTAAAAACCCAAAAAAAAAACTTACCTCTGGTATATCATCGGGAACTTTTCCCATCCAGGATAAGGACAGAATTGTGCAATCGCATTTTGTATTCGTGTTGCGCTCGAAATGGAGATGCATTATTTACAGACGTTTTGCTAGTTGTACGGTTAATAGTTGATGGTTAAATGTGTGTGTATGTGTGTACGAGGAGGAGGAGGTCCTTCGAGTTGGCTTTATTGCTGCTGCTATGCTATGTACGAGTGTGTTAGCAGTGGAGTGGGAGTAAATTTGATTTTGTTTGCCTTTCGGTTTTGGTTGATTGATTTTTTATGGCTGTTGTTGTTGCTCCTTCTTCCCTCTATATGTATTTGTGTAGATTTTCTAAATGTTGATACAGGCTGACTGCAATTTTGCTTCTGATTTTTTTCTTCTTTTGTGTGTCTAGGTAGTTATTGGGCGGTTGTTCCTTGGATCTACTTCTAATTTTTTTTTTTTGAATTGCAATATTTCTACTAAAATATTATTATTTTTGTTTTTTTTTCTATTTTGCTAAACTAACTACTCTTGCAATTATTTCCGTTTGCTATAAATAACAGCTACTGTTGTTGTTGGCGTCATCATCGACATCATCATCATCATCATGGATAGTGTCATCATCATCACTGGCAGCATCATAAACGATACTCTCATTATCATGACTTTCACAGCTTGTCTCGCAATAACAACAACCGACAACTTCATTGGCCAACTAAAAATCTGTTTCTTAACTGGAGGCAAAATGGTGTTCCTGGAAAAAGGAGAAAGAAAAAGAGAGAAAAAATAATGGCTGAGTATTATGGAGGAAATGTTCGAGGAAATCATTAGAAAAATTAAAAACACAATGCTTTGATGATGTACGAAAAAGGACACAACAAAAAACAAAACTGCGAATATTTTTGAGTGGACCTAAAACAGGCGTGGATTTTGTAAAAAAAAAATATTTTTTTCAAGGACCTAAATCAGGCGTGGATTTTTTAAAGAATATTTTTGAGGGGACCTAAAACAGGCGTGGATTTTTTAAAGAATATTTTTGAGGGGACCTAAAACAGGCGTGGATTTTTTAAAGAATATTTTTGAGGGGACCTAAAACAGGCCTGGATTTTTTAAAGAATATTTTTGAGGGGACCTACAATAGGCGTGGATTTTTTAAAGAATATTTTTGAGGGGACCTAAAACAGGCGTGGATTTTTTAAAGAATATTTTTGAGGGGACCTAAAATAGGCGTGGATTTTTTAAAGAATATTTTTGAGGAGACCTAAATCAGGCGTGGATTTTTTAAAGAATACTTTTGAGGGGACCTAAAACAGGCGTGGATTTTTTAAAGAATATTTTTGAGGGGACCTAAAACAGGCGTGGATTTTTTAAAGAATATTTTTGAGGGGACCTAAAACAGGCCTGGATTTTTTAAAGAATATTTTTGAGGGGACCTACAATAGGCGTGGATTTTTTAAAGAATATTTTTGAGGGGACCTAAAACAGGCGTGGATTTTTTAAAGAATATTTTTGAGGGGACCTAAAATAGGCGTGGATTTTTTAAAGAATATTTTTGAGGAGACCTAAATCAGGCGTGGATTTTTTAAAGAATACTTTTGAGGGGACCTAAATCAGGCGTGGATTTTTTAAAGAATACTTTTGAGGGGACCTAAAACAGGCGTGGATTTTTTAAAGAATACTTTTGAGGGGACCTAAAACAGGCGTGGATTTTTTAAAGAATACTTTTGAGGGGACCTAAAACAGGCGTGGATTTTTTAAAGAATACTTTTGAGGGGACCTAAAACAGGCGTGGATTTTTTAAAGAATACTTTTGAGGGGACCTAAAACAGGCGTGGATTTTTTAAAGAATACTTTTGAGGGGATGATAGATACC